CAACAATGCTGTGGGAAACAATGGCTGGAGATATATATATATATATATATATAGATATATATACATATATAATATATATATATATAGATATATATAGGCCTATAAATATATATATTACTAATTGTTGATTAACAGAACCAGTGTAGGCCAATATTACTCAATTGTTTATCAACAAATAGAGCTATAATATTAAATATTGGATAAAAACAGGAAAAAAAGCTCGGTTATAAATAGGTTTGCACTACTTTAAAGTTTCATGCTATATGCGATCATCAGGTGCTGAATGAGGACAGTGGAGTGGTATCAGTATAATCATGGGGTGTAATGTATGCCTAGGTTTACTTGGCCCAATGGTTAGGATTTGGAGCCGTGACGAAATATTTTACTGAGCATGGTTAAGCAAGAACTTCCTTTCGTGTCGGAATTTGGGTATAAATACCGTTTGTTTGTTTGTTTAAAAACCGAAAGGTCCACTGATTAATCTCAGATAAGAAAGTATAATACATACTTAAAGTATTGAAATACACGCCATCGTGTTGGGATTCAATATTTCGACATTAATTATGTCATCATCAGGAATGATGTTTGTTTAAAGTTCTGTGTTTGCTACTCGTGCACGTGATGATGTAATACTCCTCCCATAGGCATAGGTTGCACTTGTAAGAACTAGGAGAGTATGGAGATGAACATTTTATGACACACCAAGATAGTCGAATTTTGTGTGCTTATCTTTTAGGGCCCATATGTATTTAGAATGTTCATTTGTATTGCGTTTATTTTGTAGTTTGAAGGACGATTTTTTGTTGGTTGAATCTTGTTTTGAATGCACACTCAGTGACGCCTATATATTCCTTTGACTCGTTCTCTATATAGGCATATTACTAAAAACGCAGTAAAGATAATTAAATTGATCTGTTGCAGCCATGTTACAAAATGTCAAATACAAAATACGATGTTACACAAGTTAAAAATCCTCGAAGAAGACCAGGACAAATTATAATTTAAACAGAAACAGTAGAAAATACCAAGGCAGGGGTGATGGATAAAATGTATGCACTGTTTATACCTAGACCCTGCAGTTTTATTTTATCGCTCTGCCTTACTTTCAATTCATGAAAAAAGCATGTGCCCTTGGATTTTTCAAAACTATGATTTTATTATCATGATTCAATTTTATAAGTTATTTCTACATTCTAGAATGATAACATTCCAAGCTTATTGGTTTTCGTATTTATCTTTTAATAAAGCATTTTCTAATACGATACAACAATAATGCAAGGATGCATGCCTTCTTTTCTTCTTAGCTGGAAAGCTACAAAGACGAAATTTTTGAATGAAACTATTTTCTTTCCTTTTAGCTGGAAAGCTACAAAGAAGATATTTTTGAATAAAATTTTATTTTATTTTATTTTAACCCCATAAATTTAGTGATATTACGCTCCCATTTTTGTGACTGCATTATTTCTAAGCCGTCCTGCTGGCCGCTTTGCTTTCCTATATAATACCATGCAGTTTAAATTTGCTCATTAAAAAGAATTCAACAAAATATAGTTTGATTTTCTGATTTTAAGCCGTTAAGCTTTTATATGAAGTGGTATAAAAAATCATTTGTTTTTGTTAATGATATAATACTCTAAATTATAGTAAAAGTCTAAACATTATGTCAAAATTCTTTAAAATATCTTTGAAAGATTTGTAAATTTTCAAAGATATGAAAAGATATAATATTATCAGACAGGCTATTGGATATAAAGTTGAAAACCATCACTATTGGTGCCGTGGTGCCCATTTTGCCACCCCAGGATCCGTCACTGCTCTGACCTACTACCTAATGATGGTGTTGATAATGTTCTTGAGGATAAATGATCGGCCGATGAGCAGAGAATTTAAAGCGATGTTCTCCTCCATCGGACCTAGATCATTGCCTGAAATAAAAATTGACAATAAAAAGCGTACCTAGTTAAACTGGCGTCATGTCATGTCGCGTAACGCAACAACCTATATATATTTCAGGGATATCTATTATTTCATGATTGTTAATGAAAATTGACGAATTATGTACAGAGTTCGTAATTATAGATCTATACCATTGATAGTACTATTTTTACATGGCAGTGTTCTACCTCAATAAAAAGCAATCGTTCACCGGAACAGGAGATAAGGTACACAAAGGTAAACGATCAATCACCAGTGAACTAAAGCCGATGGGATTTTTTTCCCGAAACAGATGATTTAATAAAAGCGCTGTTGAACACCTCTTATCATTTGTAAATCCCATTGTGAAAATGGGATCAACGACTGTTGTCTAATAAATAGTGTAACATAGCTAATTTTGGAAAGTCGTAAGGTTAAAAATTCACGACAGAGTGTAAATGTGGAGTCACAACGTGAAGATTTGTTGTGTTATGTGTTGTGTTGTGTTATTTTTTTTCCTAATAAACAATTATATTTCGAAAATTGTAAAAGGTTAGTTATGTTAATTAATTATCTGATGATACTTGACAGTTAAAACAATTTATTTATATATCTTAATTATAGGCTTGTTTATGATTTAATTCTATTTTCATTATGAATTATTATTGTTATTATTATTATTTTAACAAATAAGTAGTTAAGGATTATATGTTTACAAGAATCATAAAGTATAACTGCTTTCAAAATTGTATTAAACCATTTTACTTAAAGCACTTAAACCTCGACAATCAGGTACATGTACATATTCTGTATTTTTATTTATTTTTTTTCTTTTCCTTTCCTCAACTTGTGTATAATAATCCAGTGTGTAGGACCATATTAAATGTATTTCGTTTTAAAGTCGTTTGTATGTTGTACATTAAATATGATATCCTGAATAAAAAATAAAATAAAATGTTTGTGTGCCGTATTTTAGGCACATAAGTATAACTGTTGAGTTTTTAACCAAGTTAAATTAATAAATTAATCTAAAACGAATTGTGTTACCTTCAGAATAACGTTAACACAACGCTGCAGTAACATTGAAGACGTTTTAGCCATTAAATTACGTTACAGATACGTATTTAAGTTTGTAAAAAAACAAGTTTTGAATACCTAATTGCAACGTTATTGTAAAATTTAATTGTTAGGTGGATTAGGCTTATTGTTAATAGAGCAGCTTAGCTCAGTCGGCTAAGCTGGTGGTAGCCACTGTGTGTGCGCTGAAGAAATCTCTAGGTTCCAGGTTCAATTGACATCGCTGCTCTTCTTTTGTTTCAGCCAGAGGGCTGAAATGCAAGTGATAGTGCATCGTCTTTCGGATGATACGTTTAAGCCGTTGGTCATGTGCATTGGCCCGTGGGCACGTTAAAGAACGCAGTACACTCTTCGGAAAAGAGGGGATTGTCACCGGTGTACTGCACAAGCACCACGAGAAAGACCTTTGTGGGTTATCCATGGTGTCAAAAAGAAATAATTCATCCATCCAATAATAATAATTATTATTTATAGGCCTAGTATTTATTAACGACTTAATTTTATTTTAGCACAGGTAGTATATTAATATATATTAAAGTACAGTATAGTATAACAATGTAGATGACAAACATTACTTGTTCAAGTAAGTTTTGAAAACCAAACTGCAACATTATTACAACATAAAATTCTTTACTAGGCCTATTATTAGGTTTGTCATAATAATTATTATTATCATTATAAGTCTTAGCATTAAGTAAATCCTTGTCGAGCAACTAGGGCTCATAGGGCTGGAGCTTATTCCCAGTTTCGCCCAGTTTCCCAAAGTTTCCCCCGGTTTTCCCCAGTTTCTGTAGCGTGAAGCGGATGAGAGTGTAATACTCCCCACTGGGTGGGGCGCTGGCCCACCGCAAGATAATACTCCCAACAATTTGCTGGTACCCACTGATACAACTGGGTAAACTGAAGCAATGTAGATGAAGTGCCTTGCTCAAGGACACAAGAAATGCACAGCTAAGGATTGAAACCCTGACCTCGGTGTTGGGAAACCAATCCATTCCTACTGCACAAAAACCGCTTCCACTAGTCTTAGCGTTAATATATTAACCGTTAAAAGTATGCTACAATTATGTATTGAGATTAATACTAGGTAAACTAAGGTCAAGCAATGCTAGCACTATGTTTGTCTCATGTAGGTCACTACGGTATCTTTTTGGCGAATTTGTAAGAAAATCGGTGTACGACTTCATTTCAAGGGTTTCAGCATCAGAAAACTCTTATTTTAGGCATTGTCACTTCAATATTGAAATATTCAATGATGTTTTTCAAATGACATTTTCTTTTGCAATAATGATTCGAGATCTG